ATACGATGTATAATATATGATTGTGTCTCTTATTCATTATATAATTGTTAAATGAAATTTGAGTGATTGTATACTTCTTCAATTTAGTTTTATATAATTTATTTCGAGATTAATTATCAATTTATATAGTTTACATTAGGGTATACAAAAAGATTTGATCCGATTGATTCAATATGTTTATATGATCCAAATCCGATCTGGTTTTGTATTTTCAAATAATTAGGATTGGATATCTGAAAAATTTTGTATAATCGGATCGCATATAGATCGGATAAATTCCAATTTCGAATTATCTAAAAATCCGTAAAAACAATTAGACTTTTAGATTTATATAGCATTTAGTCCAATAAATGAGTAACACACTAACCCATTAAAGCTCTAGCCCAATAAAAAATAGGATGTTTAATTTTTTATTGTGCGTGAGTAATTATATATATAACATATAATAGAGGTATTGTATAAGTTACATTAAGCCACAAAATATAAAATATAAAATTAATTTTTTGTCAAATTAAATTTTACATTTAGATAGAAACATATCACTATTTTAGGTATCTAAATTTTTAAATATCTGAATTTTCGGATTAGATCAAATTCGATATCCGAATTTGCACACCCCTATTTACACAACGTTAACATACAAGAGAAGACAAAGGTTGATTGGCAAAAGAGGCACGAGTGGTTAGAGATTTAAAAGACATCGTATGATCGTATTTTTAACCGTCATTTTTTTAAAAATTTTGATATGGCGACTTCGAGTGATTACACAAGATAATTAATGCAATACTAAAAGTCATATCTTTTGTTTGATAAAGAATGAGTCGGATCTATTCATCGACGTCGTTGTAGGGACAAGCGTCTCCCAATTAATCGAGGAAGAGCAAACATTTTCAGCTCATCTTAATCAACATCACTTGGAACAACACAGCATAAATTGTCGACGACATCGATGCATTATTCATCCTATTATATTATATTCATTTGAGAATTAATCATAAAAAATATTATTTTAAGTATTAATTTTTAAGTAGATGTTTGGATAAGAAAAATCAACCAAGTGAGTATATTTTAATGCAAAGAGCCGCTTTCCTCGTCTCAATTATTATCCTATATAATACAAGTATCACACCTCAGTGCAGCAAATATAATAGAACAAAGAGACACATCAAGCCATGGAAGTAGGTTTTTGGTCGATGTTATAATGAAAATGACATTTCACAAACCATATTCATACCAATTACAATGCCAGCTTTGAGATGGGTCCAATTTGCCATCAGCACCCATCCTTTTCTTATGCTTAAAAAAAACCAAAGCAGGTAAAAAGGATACAACAAAGGCTCCCCCATATATTACAATATTCTTACATATACAAATACAAACAAACTGAAAGGGTTGATGTGAATGTTCTTTCTTGACAACATAATCATGGCCGTTGATCGGATCATTTTGATTTGAATGGAATGGCTCTGATCACAACTACATGGTAGAGTGCTGCTAGTGCAGCTCCAATCATTGGACCCACCCAGAAGATCCACTGCAATGAAACCAAATTAGGTAAGGATCATACGGTCATTCATGGTTGGAATGAAAAAAAAATAGTGAAAACGGGGAAAGAATTGGCTTACATGGTCATCCCACCCCTTGTCCTTGTTGAAGATGATGGCTGCACCAAGGCTACGAGCCGGGTTGATACCGGTTCCGGTAATTGGGATGGTGGCTAAGTGCACCAAGAACACCGCGAATCCGATTGGCAAGGGTGCAAGAATCTAGCAGACAACACAAGTTTAAAGTTAAACTCTGAACATTAGTCAATTCTGTAGAAAAATAACGGAAGAAGATTTGTTTTAAGAAAATTGTTCATACAAATATCAACAAAACATATTATATCAATTCGACGGTGTTCAATATAATAATAAAAGGTTCCGTTTCTAAACAAATTTTAATTTATATAACAAATACCACTTACAGGGACGTGGGAGTCTCTGGCACTGCGCTTCGCATCAGTAGCCGAGAAGACAGTGTAAACAAGAACAAAGGTGCCGACAATTTCAGCACCAAGGCCATCTCCCTTGGTGTAGCCATGAGCCACCGAGTTGGCTCCGCCGCCCAAAGTACCGTACCTCGTCTTCCCCATGAACCCTTTAACCACACCAGCGCCACATATGGCTCCCAAGCACTGCATCACCATGTAGAAAATCGCCCTTGTCAAGGACAATTTCCTTCCCAAGAACAACCCAAATGTCACAGCCGGATTGATATGACCACCTATACATACATATACCAAAGTTTTATACGTTTTATAATTTTCCCGAGAAACAAACATAATGGATAGGTGTATAGCTTACCTGAAATACCAGCGGTGCAGTAAACAAGAGCAAAGATCATACCACCAAAGGCCCAAGCAATCCCTTGGATCCCAACAGTTGAGCACTTAGTCGGTTCTTTAACAACTCCCATAACAGTCAACACCGAGATATACAAGAAAAGGAAAGTAGCAACGAACTCCGCTATCCCAGCTCGGTAAAAGGACCACGAGGTCAACTCACTGGGCTCAAACAAAGGTGCAGGTGGTGGCTCAGTGTAGTCCTTGTCGTCTTGGGACTGTGCTGCCGTCCCAATAGGCTGCCTCTCAGAGAACTTGTTGGCTCCCAATCTAACATCTTCTTCCTTTCCCTCCATCTCCCTTCTTTCTTCTGCTCTATAGACTCTGACAAAACAATGATAGCTGTAAGGTGAAGAGAGAAATCTCTATGCTTTTCGTGAGTAAATGAGTTGTTTTTATATACCAATTTGGATTAGTATAAATGATTAAATATAATGAATTATGGCCGACCAATAGTTTTCTGGCATTTTTGTTTTGGGGGAAATGACATGAATAAGCCATTGGAATGTCTATTATTTATGAACGTCAATGGTGGGGTGGTGGCCGAGACACCTTAGTTGGCATAATTTTGGCCACAAATTTGTGTGGTGACGATCATCATCCACCGTCCATTTGACAGACAGAAGGAGTGCAAATGATTAGTCATATTTTCTTTTTTCCGATAGCAAAAGCTGAGTCTAAAATTAATTAAAAGTCATGATAGAATTCAACTTTGGAGAAGTTTATATATATGAATCTAATACATTTTATTTAAAATTTGATAATAAACTTTATTTAAATTTACTTCTATTTATAAATAATTAAGATAAATTTATTTTTGATCGATAAATTATAATTTCATTTTTTAAAAATATACTTATTTTATGTTTAATTTTATATTTACTAATTTTACAAAAACTTCTTTTTATTAAATTTATATATCTTAATTCTGTCCACGACTTAATGTAGTTATATTAGAATAATATATATTATATATTTTAAGTTTATAAAAAGGTTCAAGTTTAAATTTTGAATGTTAGAGTTTGAGCTTAATTTTTTTTGTATAATTTATTATTTTAATTTAATGTTTTCCCTCAAATCCTATTAAATTTCATATAGCTCTTATGATCTAAACGAATAATTCAATCCTTAAACATGCCTACTATTTGTCCAAGTAAAAATTTCAAGTCAATTTTATTTTTTATAAAATTACATTTGAAATAAATTATATTTTCTTGTGAAAAATTAAGATATTGTGTTATTATTATTTTTCTTATGATTGTCCTTCCGGTTTTCAAGGTTTCACCTTGATTAATTCAGATCGACTGACGTCGTACACTTGATTTTGGTGGATGAGTCTTCATACAAATATTTTTTGCATACACAATTGACTCAAACTCGATACCTACGGTAAAGCTTCTTTGGTGGATGAGTCTCCCTTGATTTGTTATTACTTACAGCTATTGTATAGGTTTATCCAAATATTATATAAAATAATAGAAGTTACGTTCAATGTTAATATCTCACACTATTTGTTATGAATTTTATCACAATTATATTACTCGCAAATATAGATGTATAGAAGGAAATGTTTGGAATGGTAAAAAAAAATCCAGTTTTAAATTTTGATATAATTTAAATATTTAATTATTTTTATTAAAAAATAATTTTACAATCTCTTATGAATTTTCTAAATTTTATATTTGAACATATATTCTTATATTCGTCTCCATTCATACTTTAAGATTATGTCGTGGATCAAATTTCACTTAATTGTTTAATTAACGAAATGTTTTCTTAACGTGATTTTGTAGTTGTTTTATATGAGGTAAAAAATGCAAAGAAATGCAGAAAGCTGACAATGTAATCCTTTTATTAGAGATAATGATGGACTAATTGGAATATTAATATATTTAATTTGGATAACCTAACCTCATATATTTAAATCATTTGTGTCAAGTGAATGACGTGTAAGGATAATATAAAATAATGGACAACCAAATTCAGAATCTTTCAAGCTTTTTATCATTTTATATTTTCTGGCAAAAGCTTTAGGTTGGAAAGTGGAAACATGCAAATTTGTCTCCACTGTGTAATGCATGTCTAGGTTCAACAGGGGAATAGGACTTTACCCAAATTGGAATAACGTATTACATATTCATGCATACCAAATACAAACAAAAGAAAGATGGAATCAAACTAAAAGGGTGGTGGGATTTTCCTTCTTAAGATCATCATAATCATGATCGTTGATCGGATCATTTTGATTTGAAAGGAATGGCTCTGATCACGACTACATGGTAGAGTGCTGCTAGTGCTGCTCCAACCATTGGACCCACCCAGAAAATCCACTGCAACCAAAACAGATCATAGTAGGTTAGTTTCATTCATGCTTGGAATGAAAAAAGAGTGAAAATGGTGAAAAAATTGGGTTACATGGTCATCCCAGCCCTTGTCCTTGTTGAAGATGATGGCTGCACCAAGGCTACGAGCCGGATTAATACCGGTTCCGGTGATTGGGATGGTGGCTAAGTGCACCAAGAACACTGCGAACCCAATTGGCAATGGTGCAAGAATCTAGCAATCAACACAAATTTAAAGTTAAACTCTAATCATTAGTCTGATGAAATATCCTCTGATAAAATTTGAACTTACAGGGACGTGAGAGTCTCTGGCACTGCGCTTGGCATCGGTGGCCGAGAAGACTGTGTAAACAAGAACGAAGGTGCCAACAATTTCAGCACCAAGACCATCTCCCTTAGTGTAGCCATGAGCCACCGAGTTGGCTCCGCCACCCAAAGTACCGTATCTTGTCTTCCCCATGAACCCTTTAACCACACCAGCACCACATATGGCTCCCAAGCACTGCATCACCATGTAGAAAATCGCCCTTGTTAAGGACAATTTCCTTCCCAAGAACAGCCCAAATGTCACCGCCGGATTGATATGACCACCTACCATCACCATAAATTCATCAATAATCCAATTGTACATGTCTATGTAGCAAAGTTTTGTAAAGGATGTGGGGATAGTTACCTGAAATACCAGCAGTGCAGTAAACAAGAGCAAAGATCATACCACCAAAGGCCCAAGCAATCCCTTGGATCCCAACAGTTGAGCACTTTGTCGGTTCCTTAACAACGCCCATTACAGTCAACACCGAGATATACAAGAAAAGGAAAGTGGCAACGAACTCGGCTATCCCAGCTCGGTAAAAAGACCAAGAGGTCAACTCACTGGGCTCAAACAATGGTGCTGGTGGTGGCTCAGTGTAATCCTTGTCGTCTTGGGACTGAGCCGCCGTCCCAATAGGCTGCCTCTCTGAGAATTTGTTAGCTCCCAATCTTACATCTTCTTCCTTCCCTTCCATTTCTCCTCTTTTTTGCTCTTTAATTACTACAAAATGTGGAAAACAAAGAAACCTGTGAGCCAAAGAAACAATTGAGACTGCTTTTTGCGAGTTAATGGAGTGGATTTTATATACAAAGTTGTATCATTGTATGAGAAAATGGTGGGGTCAATGCTTACCATAAATGAATAAATATAATGTTTTCAGATAGTAAGTATAATGAATTATGACTGACCAATTGTTTTCTGGCGACTGGGTGGGTTGGCTGCTCAGATAGCTTAGGTGGCTTAGTGTTGGCCACAAATTTGTGAGCTGACGATCATCAGCCACCGCCCCATTGTTAATTTGTTAGACTAAGGGGAGTAAATGATTAGTCATTTTTTTCTTAAATGGGTAAAATACATCCTAGGGCACTTAGTTATATGTTTCAATTTTAATGGCCATTGACTATTTTTATAACTATCAATACTCGATCTATTAATCTGATAATTAAAATCGAATATTGTATAAGTTTAATATGAGACAATAATCCTAATCTAATTTTCTTCATTCGTAAATATTAATTTGAACTCTTAACTTTATTTAAATGAATTAGTGTCTCATCCCACTATACTAATTGATTATTAGTTAATAATTTATTTTTTTAATAAGTTTTTAAATAAATAATATGCTTATAATATTTTTAAAAAGTATTTCATTCACTATTAATTATATAATTGAATGACTTCAACGTATTTTATCCTTTATTTATATAAGCTAATAATTTTTTTCGTAAGGAGTGCAAAAAATTGCAGAAAACTGACAATCTGTAATTGGTTTTGGGAGATAATGATGGCGCTAATTGAAATTTATTACCTAATCTCAGTTATTTAAATAATTTCTGTCATTGGAATGACATGTATAAGATAAAATATAAAAGAATGGCATCTAATGTAACATACATAATCAAATTCAGAATCTTTCAAGCATTCTAACATTTTATATAGGCTGGCAAGACCTTTAGGTTAGAGACATCATCATAATTATATTATATGTTTTGGAATATAATTTGTTTATAAACATGCAAATTGGTCCCATTTAGAGGCGTTTATGAACCATTCATATAATGTTCTATTATTAAGTTAAATAGATGAATATCAACATAATTTTTATGTTTATTTAATAAATAAACTAACACAAACAGAGATGTGTTCAGTTCGTTTATATTTACGAACAAACTCGTTGAAAATTAGTTTATTGACTGGTTTATAAACTTATATACCTAAATTTTCTTTTCCTTTTTTTTTATCTTTTTTCGTATTAAATATTGGTGAAACTAAGGACTAAATTGAACGCTATCAAATTTTTTTCAAATTAAAAAATCTAAGGAGTTTAAAGACTAGTGACTTAATTTTAACATTTTTCTGAACATATAAACCATGTCCAGGTATACTAAACAAGCATGTTGACGAACACTGAACGAATATATTCACGGACGTTAAACGAATATATTTGTGAAACTGAATACAAACACATTAAAAAATAAATAAACAAACACGAATAGAATATTAAAGAATTAAAGAATCACTTGAACATAAATACCTTTAAAAATAGACAAACAAATACAAATACAATGTTGGATCAAACCGTTCTTTCACACCCACTCTTTGTAAAGCTTCAAAGCTCAACTTGGGAATGATTTTCAAAGCTTCTATGGAGGAGTGAACAACTTGACCACTTCACTGAACATAGAGTGATATATCTATGCCAGGTCTCTGTGAGAGCCCAATTACCATGTCCAGTTGTTCAATAATGCCTCAAATTTTAGTATCGTAGCTTCTTGTGAGCTTGTTTTAATTTGTTGCTTGAAGCTATATGGTTGGTTTGTTGGCATTGATGGGGTAGAGGAAGATGAGGTTTGGCCTTAAGATGGTTATGTGAACATCACCCAAAGACTTTAGTAGTGTGACCAATACGGCCACAAAGTTGTCATACTAGACATTGAAGATAGATGTGGGATAGGCCATTGCGACTCAAATTTGAGGTGTCCCTTACTTGGATTCTTTGTTATTGGAATAATATATTAACTTGAAACTCATTGAAAGAGAGTATGTTCATATTGGACTTTGAACAGATTGGAATTATATATTTGCATATTCTTGCATACATACACAAAGGGCAAACAAACAAAAGAAAGATGGAATCAAACTGAAAGGGTGGGTGGAATTTTCCTTCTTCAGAACATAATCATGACCGTTGATCGGATCACTTTGATTTGAAAGGAATGGCTCTGATCACAACGACATGGTAGAGTGCTGCTAGTGCTGCTCCAATCATCGGACCCACCCAGAAGATCCACTGCAACCAAACCAAAGTAGATAAGGATTATACTATCATTCATGGTTGGAATGAAAAAAGAGTGAAAATGGTGAAAGAATTGGCTTACATGGTCATCCCAGCCCTTGTCCTTGTTGAAGATGATGGCTGCGCCAAGGCTACGAGCCGGGTTAATACCGGTTCCGGTGGTTGGGATGGTGGCTAAGTGCACCAAGAACACTGCGAACCCAATTGGCAAGGGTGCAAGAATCTAGCAATCAATACGAGTTCAAAGTTAAACTCTAATCATTAGTCAATTCATGTTACAATTCTAAGTTTCTAACGAAATATCACTTACAGGGACGTTAGAGTCTATAGCACTGCTCTTGGCATCAGTGGCCGAGAAGACAGTATAAACAAGAACAAAGGTGCCAAAGATTTCAGCACCAAGGCCATCTCCCTTGGTGTAACCACGAGCCACCGAGTTAGCTCCGCCGCCCAAAGCACCGTACCTTGTCTTCCCCATTAACCCTTTAACCACACCAGCACCACATATGGCGCCCAAGCACTGCATCACCATGTAGAAAATCGCCCTTGTCAAGGACAATTTTCTTCCCAAGAACAGCCCAAATGTCACCGCCAGATTGATATGACCACCTATCCATCACCATAAATTCATCAATGTACATGTCTATGTAGCAAAGTTTTGTAAAGGATGTGGGGATAGTTACCTGAAATACCAGCAGTGCAGTAAACAAGAGCAAAAATCATGCCACCGAATGCCCAAGCAATGCCTTGGATCCCAACAGTTGAGCACTTAGTCGGTTCCTTAACAACGCCCATAACAGTCAACACCGAGATATACAAGAAAATGAAAGTCGCAACGAACTCAGCTATCCCAGCTCGGTAAAAAGACCAAGAGGTCAACTCACTGGGCTCAAACAACGGTGTAGGTGGTGGCTCAGTGTAGTCCTTATCGTCTTGGGACTGAGCCGCCGTCCCAATAGGCTGCCTCTCAGAGAACTTGTTGGCTCCCAATCTAACATCCTCTTCTTTTCCCTCCATCCTTCTAGTTCTTTTGCTCTTTACAACACTCTGGGAAAACAATGAAACCAAACTCTATGCTTTTGGTGAGTTAATTAATGGGGTGTTTTTTATATACCAAGTTGTGGTGGGGATAAAGCATAAATGAATAAATTAAATGTCTTGGGACATTAAATATAATGAATTATGACGACTGATCAATCGTTTCCTGGCCTTTTTTCTTTGTGGTTTACTGGGAAAAAGGCATGAATGCACCATTGGATTGTTTATTCCTTATGAACCACAATGGTGGCTGGTGAGAGTGAGACTCCTTAGCTGGCTTAATTTTGGCTACAGATATGTGAGCTGACGATTATAAACCACAGCCACATCGCCGCACGTAAGAGAGAGTGAAACATTCATGATTTACTCTTAAGTGAACAATGTCGAGCAAGTTCCATGAATTCGGCTGTGTTGAAAAACTGAATCATCATGTTTATCTCGTGGGGCGGTGGAACTGGAGACATAGTTTATACATGAATTTAAACATAATATAATTTGAAATACGAACTTCAAATTATTTTCAACATTAAATTTCAGAAAATCCAATGATTTTCTCCAAAAGTGCAAAGAAATGCAGAAAAATGACAATCTGTAATCCAAGGAGATCGTTTTGGGAAGATAATGATTAATTGGAATACTATTACATTTAATGCCGATAGCCTAATCTCATATATTTAAATAATATCTATCATTGGAACGACATGTAAAGCCGTAAAGGTAAAACATAAAATAATGACATCCAATGTAACATATACATGTATACGCTGGCAAAACCATTTGGTTAGAGTCATTGTCATGTATCATATATTTTAATATATTTATTAAATCAAATAAAATTATTGATTTTGATTCAGTTTATTATTAAATAAAAGTTATTCGAATATTAGGGTTGTAATCATGGGGACTCCTTTGCATTACATGGCCCCCACGTGTATAATCTTATAATAGAGAATAAATTTTTAAAATTTTAAGTGAGATAATTTATTAAATTCTAGAGAGACGAAAAATTAAAATATATGATAATTTGATATTTTCAGAAGACGATTATCCCTAGTTGTTCTCTTAATTTATCTCTCTTTATGTAAGAATTGATAATTACTTTGAATAAAATTGTAAAATAATGTAATTAAACCACAATGATTAAAGATATCAATTTAAATAATATGCCGAAAATTAACGATGTAAAATGTGTAAAAGTTATTTTAGTCATTTTGGGTGGCTAAGTGTTGTTTATTCATTGATGAAAACATACCTAAAATCATATTACATAATTTGGCATTGTTTAAGCCATATGATAAGATTAAGGGGTTGTTTGTTTACTTCAGAATGATTAAGCGTTGAATGATTCAAATGCTGAATGATTCAGAGGTTCTGCATGAATTGGTTCTGAATGTGACATGATGTTTGATAATGGCTCTGAATCATTTAGAATGTACTTTTGTGTTGAATCATTGAGCACTGTTTTGTTGAATCAATCAGCATTGAATCATTCAGAAGTGTGAAACAAACACGTTGAATGATGAACGGTTCAACATTCAGCACTGAATGATTCCATTAAGAGGCAAACAAACAGCCCCTAAATATCAAACCCCAACCGCCCCTTGAATTAAGACCTCAGTCTGTGTTTTTGGTATGTAAAAATCAAATGGCCTCACAAAAATGGCTGCTGCTGACCTATAACTCCAAATTTCTTTTATTTTTCTTCATCGCATATTAAAAAAGAAATAGATGCTCAAGCCGCTTTCCTTTCAATAAATAAAGTCTTTTGAGAGTATGAAAGGTTGGAAGCTTAAACGGAATGAATAAATGTAGTTTCTCACAACCCCTTTAAATTGAAGTCCTATCTGTCCATGAGTTCTATTATTTGCTTAGATTCAGTCCATGAGTTCTATTAGAGATGAATATGAGACTTGAATTGATGAGTTCTAACTCGATTCGATCTTATATAGTTTAAGAATATGTCTAGAATTTAAGTTAGAAGTGGGGTAGGATGAATTTTGAGAGAATAATAATCAAGTTTGGATCATAATTGAATTTATGATAAAACATTTCATCTTATCTGAGTTGAAATACTTTACCATAAAAGACCATATTTATTTTTCAATTCTTATTTTTCTTTTTTCACTCTTTCTCCTCCCATAAATTCTCTTATCTTTCTCTACTCTAAAATTTTTAAATCCCTAAAAACATCATCGCCCATAGCACTGACCGTCGTCGTTATTTATAGTTGAATTCTAAAATCTTCCAACAACCTCCTTCAAGCCTCCTAATTTTGAATATGGTGTATGTTTCATCGTAAAAGTCTTGATGTCCAAGAATCTAGGTCGAAACTGTTTCTCATTTATTTTTTTATCTTCTTCATCCGCTATCGTATTAGATCAAAATTATTATATCGTTTCTCTCGCTAAAAGGAGTCTATTCACTATTGGGATCGTTGAAAACATCCTAAGTCATCGAAAACTACCTTATTGAAAAGATGAATATCTTTTCTCCTTTTTTTCTTTTTATCTCTCCTTTGTTCTCTGTTTTTCAAGATTTTGTTTCTTTTTCCAACTCTCTTTTTGGTGTTTTTCTAAAGATTTTTTGTTTTATTTTATTTTATAGAATCTTAACTTTTGTTTTAGTTAATTTACAGTATTGAAGTGATATTAGGTCAAATAGGGTTAGGGCTGATTTTCACTCCCAAATTTTGAGTCGAACTCGGGACAAACGAGACTTCTTTTAATTTAGGTCAAGTCGAGTAGATGTATAGAATTCTCGAGTTGAAATTGGAACTGTTAAAATTCAACCCTTGTCGGCCCATATTCATCTCTAATTGAGTCTTAGCCGATCCATATTCATCCCTAATAAGTAATTCAATAAATCTGAAACATATTTTAAATTTAAATTAGATGAGTACTCATTTTAAGTTCGAATTAGATGAACGTAGTCATACTTATGTTTCTTAATATAAATTCATTGTTATGACAATATGTGTATGTACTTTACTTAAAATGTGTTTAATTATGAAATTCAAGTATGAATCACTTTTGAATATCATGTAAATCATTAAGGTATGGTATATTTGTATGTGTTTCGATGTAAATTTGATTTTTTTTCCATAGATTTTTAGTATGATAGTAAATTGATTGTTGAATATTGATGTAAAAATGGTAAATTTAATATATGATATGTGTATTGATGAAAAGTGAGAGTATGATTGAATCATTATTCAGATTAACTTAATTTAGCATTAAATATAATTGTCATGACAAAATGTTTATAATTTATAAAAGATTGGTTATTTATGAAGAGGCGGAGGAATGCACTTAATATTTCGATCGATTTTTATGTCTCGATGATAAGAAATTAGATCCATATATCTGAATATATTATGTTAGCATGGGCTAAAATCTGATTTCACCATGTTTTAGTTCCAAAAGCATCAAAGATCTGCGCATCTACTTCATGCACAAAATTCTTTTGGAAATTTTCAATCTTTTTCTTACATATTTGGCTGACTGCATTAATGCCAAGTTGTTGGACCGACATATATTAAGGTTATGTGTCTCATCTGAAATTCAATAGCATCAGAAAAACAACAATAACCCATGAAAATGAAAACACTTATTGCTATTAACATAATCTTTAGCTGAGAGGAAAACAGGTTCCTTCACCACCAGTTCCCCATAGAAAATAGGCATACTTGGATGCTCGGAATGGGTTTTTCAGGTCAGCCTCGAGCGCTTCCAGGTACCTTTCTTCGGCCTCCAGTTGATTGTTCCTCACCTTCCACAAGAAGTCCGCATATTGCTCCAATGCCTCTGGATCTTGCGGTTCGACTTGAATTGCACGTTTGAAGTACTCCTCCGCCCTGTTTAAATCCCGATTTGGACAAAATCAACATCACATACTGCTGGATAATGCAAATAATTAGAGACGATTAAGATTTTTATGATAATCGTTTTTGTTTTATTAACTGCTTTTACTCTTATAAGTAGGAAAGTTCATCTCATTATTTTACACAAAAATTATTTGTTTCTCCACAATCTCTCTCTTCCTATTTTCGAAAAAAGTAATCAAGCTGATTCTACTTCTTCACTTTGAGTTTACGGAATAGATTGTAATTCTCCTTCTTCACTTCGAGTTTACAGAATAGATTGTATTAACCTTGGAGACAACATCCACTTTTAGGAGTACAAAAATTACTTCTAATGTAGTGAATTGTACCATGTCACACAGTTATTTTACTTAACACATCCGGATAGAGAACTACAGGATTGGAGATTATACCTGTCATGGTCCTTGACAACAAGGTAAAGAAACTGAGCATAATTCAACAGCAAGAGAGAATTCTCCGGCTCATCGGAGATACGCATCTGATAAACAAGGTTCATTCTCAAATGCGTTTCGCCGTTATCATCCGGTTCGAGCTGCACGTTTAGTGGAGACACCAACTGCTGCCTAATCTGATGATCGACGACCTTGTAACAAACCTCTCCTTGCATTTTCGAAGCCTCCTCCACCATTGACCTCCATATCCCTAATTCTCCATCAATGATATCGGTTTCAGCCACGACCGGTTGTCGATTCACGTCGATGACGGCCTTATTAGTCATCGAATGTACCGAAAAATTGGCCAAAAGGAGCATGACGTAGACCATAAGAGTCGGTGTTGTCGAAAACACTTGCTGGAACAGCCACACGAATGTTAATGTCAAGTCCCTTTGCATCTTGTTCATCACGTCGATTAAATCTTCACAGTTTAAGCCTTCCCTTATAACCAATGTGTAGCTCTGAAGCTCTCTAATGATCAATACCAGTGAAGAAAATGCCTTTTTAACAGAGCAGTATGCAAACTCCCCTGCATCGACGAAACCCTCTTTCCACTTTTGCTTTCTCTTTATCATCCGAACCGAATGCGGGATGCCGAAACATCTCGCTTTCTGCTCGATATCTATCCGACAAACCTCGTCTCGCTCGGGCCAATCCGGCGGATCC